AATACATATCTTAGGGTTCATTTCCCTAACTTCAAATTTTCATTATTTGATATATTATTTTTACATTCTTCAGGGTCATCCATTTCTCCCATTGGCTGATAGATTCCATAAATATTGCCACAGTTAAGCTTGAAAATGGCTTTAGTGTGCCGCATATGGTGATGAATGCCTTGAATCCCAACTAAAGCAAGACGATAATGATGAGTTTGAAGTTAGCCTGGTCTACAGAGTGAGATCCTTTCTCAAGACAGAAACAAAAACAAAAAAGAAACCCCAAACAAACACCTACAGTCAAAACCCAAAACGAAGGGGACAGAAAATTATGGTCAATTTAATTCTCCAGGTCCTCCAGTTGGTCAGGAGTTGGATCTGGGGATCATGAGCCTGTTTTTCATTGTTTCTTGAAATCAGACATGAGGAGGCTCAATTTGACTAATTCACCTAGGGCACTTAGGGTTACCATGCGCGTGGTGAAGGGCTGTAGTCTGAAGCTGTTGTGGTACTTCAGGAGCATGTAGGTCATTCCCAGCATAGCTGACCAGCTGTGTTTTCTGAGTCATTTTGTCATTGAGAAAGCAGCTTAATTTGTGGTGTCAATCCATTTACTCTTCTCCCTTGTAGGTGCGCTCATGTGTATGGCCTGGATGACTACAGTTAGCACAGGTGTATTGGTTGCCCGATTTTTCAAGTCTGTTTGGTCCAAAGCTTTCTTGCTCAGAGAAGCAGCTTGGTTTCAGGTAGGTGAGGAGAGAAAGCTTAATTTCTGTGTTATTTGAACTTTTTCACCTGAACAATGTCTGCTTGTGTTGTTATTTCTTTTTTTTGGGGGGGGGTCCGGTTGTGGGGCCTGAACTCTGGGCCTGGGCACTGCCCCTCAGCTCTTCAGCGCTCTACCACTTGAGCCACAGTGCCACTTCCGGCTTTTTTCTTTTTGCTTATGTGGTGCTGAGGAGTCAAACCCAGAGCCTTATGCATGCAAGGCAAGCGCTCTACCACTGAGCCACCTTCCCAGCCCCTGTGTTGTTATATCTGGTTAAAGCTCTTATAGATTTCAGATCCTTTTTGTAGCAAACAAGCCTTTTGCTTTTTTTTTTTTTTTTTGCGCTTTAGTGCTTAAGCCATAGCTCTCCTTTTCAGCTTTTTTGGTGGCTAATTGGAGATAAGAGCTTTATGGACTTTCCTAACCCCGCTGGTTTTGAACTACTATCCTCAGATCTTAGCCTCCTGAATAGCTAGGATTACAGATGTGAGCCATAGGCACCCAACCAGGCACAAGATCGTTCATGGAGGTCTAAATACAGACAGGTTTGTGAAGAGGCAGTCTTCCCTGGAGACTGGGTTAGGGCCATGTGTATCTAGTAATGTACAGGACTCAAGTGCCCCTTCTGTATACCTGTATTTGTCGGGGAGGGGGAGGGGGGGGGTGGTGGGGGTGGTGGGGGAAGATGCAGAAAGAGCATTCACCCACTGCAGTGAATGAAGGTGGGTGGAGGAAGGCTGGGAATGCTGATTGAAGACACAGTGGGCTGCACTGTGTGTCAGAGCACTGCTTTGTCCTCTGGGCCAGTAAGCGAGGGACCATCCCTCACTCCTCAGTCAGGATCAACCCAGCCTGTGCGAAGAAAGAGGAACCGGAAGTGTTCTTTTCCATGATCTTCCTTCCCTATGGATCAGGAAGGCAGTCTCCAAGTGGAAATCTAAGTAGGAGTCTATAAAGTAGAACAACCTTAGCTATCTTTCCTGCATCATGGAATACAGATGTGCACTCATATACCAGAAGGGCTGTGGGTATGTGTTGAATGAGGATGCATATGTAGGATGTTTGTAGGAAGTAAATGGTGTCGATGGAACAGTTGTGACTTTATTAGGAGGTATCATTCCCCTTTCCTGAGCTTCATTATCTACCTTCATTTCTCCCATTGGCTGGGAGGGCTGTCTGTTTTTAGGAGCCCTCCTCCTGCTCAATGCCTTTCATCTACACGCCCTTCTCCCTCTCCTGCTCCAGTCTGAAAGATGGAAGATCTGCTGGTCATGTTCCATCTAAATCCTCTACATGCCTTGGGGGCATGGCTCAAGGGGTAGAGTTGGAAACTCCAAGTTCAATCTCCAGGACTGCAAATATGAAAAATATGGTGTGTTGTGTATGTGTGTGTGTGTGCGTGTGTGTGTGTATGCGCGTGCTCATGCACCTGTGGATATATTGATTTATATGTATGTATCATCTCTATATGTGTGTCTATATAGAGAGCTATATTTCTCTATATTCATATATTGATCTGCATACATATACAGATCTAAATGTATATATCTATATACACATAGCTATCTGTATGTATCTATATATATCTAGATATGTATATAGATATATATGTGTGTGTAGTTATATGTGTATATATAGATATGTCTATATATGTATCTCTATATATCCATACATAAATGTATCCATATCTATTTATATATAGATCTGTATTTCTATAAGTAGATATTTATATCTATATCAATATATAGGTATCTATTTACATCTATATCTAGATCTATTTATATCTATACCTAGATATCTATGTCTATATCTATATTGATATCTAAATATATATATTCATATAATATCTATATGCATGATAATGGCTTAGATCACTGTATAATATATAGAGATGTCTATAGCTTTAGATAGATATGTAGATAGATAGGTGGATGATGGGTAGATATATACATATATTAGACACATATAGGGTAGCTATACCTCTTTCTTTCCCTGAAATAGTTTTGGCTTGCACTAATTATCTAGGGTATAATCATTTAACAGTGCCTATTTTCACTCAATATTCTCTCCCTCTTTGTGCTGGTACCAGGGCTTAAACTGGGGCCTTGATCTCTCATTTGGCTTTTTCGCCCAAGGCTGGTACTCTACCACTTGAACCACACTTCTACTGCTAGCTTTTTGCTGGTTGATTGGAGCTAAGAGTCTCCCAGACTTTTCTGCCCAGGCTGCCTTTGAACTAGGCTCTTCAGCCCTCAGCCCTTTGAGTAGCTAGGATTACATTCATGAGCCATGGTTGCTTGATTTCCGTATTCTCTCAATGGGTACAATGACTTTCATGCTTTATCTGCTTTTCACTCCTCTGCTCATCTGTACTGCCAGCTCTTGGGGCGATGGTACATGCTGTTTTCTGGCTGTTCCATGGCCCTGGTGGTAGCACTGTTCTTGGTGGCAGAGCTGAGTAAATGTGTTTGGGAGGAAATGCAGGACCTGGCAAATAAGTGGGCTCTGGGTGTGAAATAGCCCTTCCTGCTGCTCTGCGTGGGTGCTCTCAGGAAATGGTTTGGAACGATGAGGCTGGATGGTTTAATGGTAGGCTCACATTTGATTTTTACTGGCCATAAACTGATCAGTCGCCAGCTGAAAACCTGAGTGCAGTGAACCCCCCTTGCTATTGACAGCAGCTCTCGTGTAGTGAGGGCTACACGTGTCCTCGCTCTGTCTCACCCCTTTGCAGGTGCATCGGCTGCTCATGCTCACCACGTCTGCGCTCACTGCTGTTGCCTTTGTTTTGCCTTTTCTATATAGAGGAGGTTGGAGTTGGGTAAGTACACTTTTTTTTTCCTTCTGATACTGGTGTTTGAACTCAGGGCCTTATATTCTTGGCTTGAACTCTGGCCCTGGGTACTGTCCCTCAACTCTTCAGCTCAAGGCAAGCACTCTACCACTTAACCACAGCACCACTTCCAGTTTTGTGGTGGTTAATTGGAGATAGGAGTCTCACAGACTTTCCTGCCCAGGCTGGCTTTGAATTTTGTTCCTCAGATCTCAGCCTCCTGAGTAGCTGGGATTACAGATGTGAGCTACCAGTGCCCAGCTTGCTTGGCTTTTTTGATCACAGCTAGTGCTCTATCATTTTTGGCTTTTTGTTGTTGTTGTTGTTGGTCATGGGGCTTGAACTCTGGACTTGGGAACTGTCCCTGAGCTCTTCAGCTCAAGGCTAGCACTCTACCACTTGAGCCACAGCACTACTTCTGGTTTTCTGGTGGTTAATTGGAGATAAGAATCTCATGGTCTTTCCTTCCTGGGGCTGTCTTCAAACCATAATCCTCAGATCTCAGCCTCCTGAGCGGCTAAGATGGTGGTATGAGCCACCAGTGCCTGACTTGTATATTAGTTTCAAATCAAGGGTTTAAGAGACTGAGATCGTTACAATAACTGTCTCTGTTCAGCATGCAGGTTACCACCCGTTCCTGGGCTGTACAGTGATGATTTTAGCAGTCCTTCAACCTCTTCTGGCAGCTTTCAGGCCACCTGTGCATCACCCAAGGTACTGTTGCTTTTATGCAGAAATGCTCTTAGAGGAGAATACTCATTGGTTGGTAACTGTATCCCTTTTCCAAGGGAAGTACTTTTTCACATCTTACAAACTAGTCTTAGAAATTGTATTTCCTTTGAAAGGCTTTGGAAATGTGTTTTGGAGATTCTATTCCCAGGCAATAGGGGAGATTTTTATTCCCGTGGGAACTAGTTGTCGCTTTACCACTTGTAGGAACACTGACTGGTTCTGTGTTTTGGTAGGCGGCAGATGTTTAACTGGACCCATTGGAGTGTGGGAACAGCTACGAGAATAATTGCAGGTAAGCAAGTGCAAGGCCACTTGTTCAGATCTAATTGCTGGGTGTTTATATCACCCAACTTGTAATTTGGCTTAAGTGATTTTTTTTTTTAGATGCATTTGTAATGGCAGTAATTGGTTGTTGAGGAGAAACCAGCCTTAAACAATGAAATCCAGAAAGTAATTTCTAGAGGTAACAAGTCATTATTGCCGTTTGAAGTGTAGGGGGCTTAACAATGACTTAAAACTCTCTAAGACTTCTTTTTTTTTTAAGTTAAAAAAAAATGATCTTGGGGCTGAGAATGTGGCTTAGAGGTAGAGTGCTTGCCTAACGTGCATGAAGCCCTGGGTTTGATTCCTTAGTACCACATAAACAGAAAAGGCCAGAAGAGGTGCTGTGGATCAAGTGGTAGAGTGCTAGCCTTGAACAAAAGAAGCCCAGGGACAGTGCTCAGGCCCTGAGTTCAAGCCTCAGGACTGGAAAAAAAAAAATCTTTGCCAGAAGATGAAGCTATGTTGGTGGTCGTACATTTGAGCAACACAAGTTCAGGGTCATTTTTTGTGAATTGGGTTGAGGTAGGCTGTTTACGTCTAAGCCCTCCCTCTCCAGTTCATTTCTATGGTGTTTGCAGGAGGCAGGGTTTTCAAAGGTGGATGTGGTTATTGGATGCACTTAGTGGTCTCAGATAATAAAGGCCTAGATGAAAATCACCTGCTCTAACATACCAGCTATGAGATTTAGCACGCAGGAAGTATGGTCAGCTGTGTCTTCCGTACTTTTCTTCCTTCTGCCACTCACGCTCAAGAACTTTCTGGGGTGTTTAGGTGCCTAAATAATTGGTGTATCATATTTCTTCAGAGGGGGGAATAAGACCAGAGAAAGAGCCTGGCTAGGCAGTCAGGTCAAAGGTCCCCTCCCATAGAGGTTTAATTCTGCGCCCCTGATAGGGCGTTGAAGCAGTCCTGCAGGCAGGCCCCCAGACACTACGGCACTGTGGCCTTCATCAGTTTGCACTTGTGGGGCTCTGGGCATCTATCCCATCGTGGCTCATCAGCCCCAAACAACTTGTGTGGGAGCTGGGGGCTGATGGAAGCCCAGAGGTTCCAAGGATGCCTGGAGAGCCCGTGCAGGCTGTGTGGAGTCTCCGATTGGGTCTGGGACTGAGGTGGCCCACAGGCTGTCTGGTGGTCTTGAGTCATGGGACTCTCCTAGAGACCCGAACTGTCCCCATTCCCAGGCTGTGAGTTCTGCTTAGCTTTTCCTTCAATAAATCTGTTTAGCTTTCCTTTCTTCTCAGTGTCCATGGACTCCTTACAAAAGATCTGATCCAGGAATTGCAGTTTTTCAGTGTTAGCTATACTAAAATTAAATCTTTGCTAAACCTTAAAAAACAATAATTAACTTTTGATTTCATTTGTTTATTTATTTATTTTGCTGGTCCTGGGGCTTGAACTCAGGGCCTAGGCACTGTCCCTGAGCCTCTTTTTGCTCAAGGCTAACGCTCTACCACTTGAGCCACAGCGCCACTTCTGGTTCTTTTGAGTAGTTTATTGGAGAAAAGAGTCTCATGGGGACTTTTCTGCTCAGGCTGGCTTTGAACCATGATCCTCAGATCCCAGCCTCCTGAGTAGCTAGGATTACAGGAATGAGCCACCAGTGCCTGGCTTAACTATTGGTTTTTAAATATTAATCCTACTCATCTTTTCAATATGAAATGTTTAAATATTAGAGTTTTTCATTGTTTAATTTTTATTTTCATTTATTTTATTTTTTTGGTCCAGTCGTGGGCCTGAACTCTGGGCCTGGACGCTGTCCCTCAGCTCTTCAGCTCAAGGCTAGTGCTCTACCACTTGAGCCACAGCACCACTTTCCGGCTTTTTTCTTTTTGCTTATGTGGTGCTGAGGAATTGAACCCAGGGCCTCATGCATGCAAAGCAAGTGCTCTACCACTAAGCCACCTTCCCAGCCCCTAATTTCTATTTTTCTGCTGGTCCTAGGTCTTGAACAAGGAGCCCGAGTACTGTCTCATAGCTTTTCCTGTTAAGGCTGGTTCTCTACCACTTGAGCTATACCTCAACTTCTGGGTTTTTGGTGGTTAGAGGGAGATAAGAGTCTCACAGACTTTCCTTCCCCAGGCTGGCTTGAACCATGATCCTCAGCTTCCCAAGTAGCCAGGATTACAGTTGTGAGCCCGTAGCCTCCAGCAACTTTATTTTAATATAATGCACACAATGACTTCTTTTGGTGGGAATTACATTTGAATACATTTTTTTCTTTTATACTTAGTGGCAGCCATGTTCCTGGGAATGGATTTACCAGCTTTGGACCTTCCTGGTCCACAGAAAACCTATACGATGATTGGATTTGTGGGCTGGCACATTGGAACTGAAATCATCCTAGAGATACACGCTTACTGGCTCTCTCGAAAAGGTGACTTTTAGGAAAGCTGAGTGAAGCAGAATCACGTTCTCACCAACTGCTGGGGTTCAGTTAGTTTCCTGGTACTGGTAGGGGATCATTATGTGGTAACTTCTTAGCTACCACGTGATTCCTTACCCTTCCCTTCTCTTCCCTTTCTTGTTGATTCCCTACCCTCCCTCCCTCCCTCCCTCCTTTCATTCAGGGCCTTATCTCTCACTTGCCTTTTTCAATTCAGGGCTGGTGCTCTATCACTTGAGCCACAGATACACTTCTGGCTTATTGTTAGCAAACTGGAGATAAGAGTATCACAGACTTTTCTGCCTTCACGGGCTTCTAACTGTGATCCTCAGTTCTCAGCCTCCTGAGGAGCTAGGATTACAGGCTAGCTATGCTATCAGTAGTATTGGGCTTTCTGAAAAACATGTAAGGGAAAGGTCTCTGGTAGTACAGCTGAGACCATCTTGGTAAGTTCATGCACTCTGGGTGATGATCGGGTCAAGACCCAGCACACCCTGGGCACTTGGACAACTAGAGGAAGGAGAGACCCAGAACCCTGGAATTTAGGTTAATAGCTAGACAAGACCTACTTTGTCAGTGTTCTCTGGTTGGGTCTTAATGACCAGCAGGGCCAAGATCTCTATAGCCACCACAGAGTGGGGAATGGAAGCCATTTTGAACTAGCTGAGATCTCTATGTCCTATCTAGTCTTCAGCCTCCAATAGTGTGACCTCAAAACAAGAAACTCTTGGTGTCTAGTCCATATGCCTGGGCAGCTGTTAGATGAGATTGGACAAGACCAAGTTGGTGTGGCTGTAGCCCAGCAGCTTGTAGAGCCAACGACATGTCTGTCCTCCTGCTCTGGCTTCTTCTTTTTTAAAAGCTCGGTCTCATTTTGTATCCCAGACTGGCCTCAAATGTGAGATTGTTTGCCTCAGCCGCACTGGGACTACAGGTGTGTACTACCATTCCTTTGGTCCTTGGTAGGGTTATGTACTTGAGGTTTTGATGACACCCCGAATTTCAGCTGAAAAATTAAAATATGTATATACATAGAACCTGGATTGTCATCACATGTTAATTAGCTTGATTTAACAACTCCACAACCTATTGAAATGTGATATTCCATAGACATATAATTTGTAGTTGTTCATTAACAAAGGAAAATGAGAGGTTCTTAGGATTTTGGTGTGGTGTCAATGGGTGGAGAAAGAGAACTGGTTAAAAAGACATTTTTTCATTGTAATTATAAAGGTGATATACAGAGGGGTTACAGTTACATAAGTCAGGTGAAGAGTACGTTTCTTTTTGGCTAATGTCACCTCTTCTAGCTCCCTCCCAGTTTTCCCCTCCCGTCCCCACCCACAAGTTGTATACTTCATTTTCAATACAGTGCCTGGTAACTACACTGCTACATTTGTTCACCCTTTGTCTCTCTGTTTCTGTCCCTGGAAGAGAGCTTTTAAGTTCTTTGAGACAAGTCCCAGTTTGCAAGAGCCTTAAATATTCCTGGGAATCAGTGAGCACTAGGAATTGGTTATTTTCCCCTAGTTTATGTTCAAGTCTGTGTTCGTGCATAACATGGTGTTTATAGGCTATGTTGTTCTTGACAGTGCAAATACTGGATGATGACAGAATTCAGATCCTTCAGTCTCTGACGTCAGCGGAGGCAGAGGTAAGTTCTTCATTGCTCGTCTGTTCACATACAGCTTGGTGCCGGTCCTTGCTCTTATGTCTCAATTTTTCTTCCAGGGCCATGCTTTTAAAAAGGCTGTGTTGGCAATTTATGTCTGTGGGAATGTGACTTTTCTCATCATGTTCTTCTCTGCAATCAGCCGTCTCTAAGCAAGCTAAGACCTTGCTTTCTATGGACCAGGTGAAAATCATTCTCAAACCAAAGGAACTCACAGCTGATACTCCCTGCCTGCAGCAGAGCCCCCAACACCTGTTTTGGAAACCCAAGGATGCATCTGTAGGGAAGTTCTGAAGCTTGGTCTTCATAGAGCAAAGGCAAGAGGCCTGTGTAGACAGTACCGGATATTAAGTGCCTTGTGTGCAGTTCTGCATCTTAAAGCCTCATTGTACTTGAGGAGAAATGACTCCAGTATTCTATGCTGGAATTTTAAGAATGCTAGCATTGAAGAAAGTAAAACAAGAATAACTAGGAAATTGAAATATCATTAGGATAAAATGAAAGGCTATTAAGGCGCATATATATATATTTATATATATATATGTGCAAATATATTTTTTACAAAGGTGATGTGGTACTTTAAAGAAAACACCTATTTTTCATGAAGTTTTCCCTCAGGCCCGGGGATGTAGGTCAGCAGAAAACACTTGCCTAATAAGGCTGAGGCTCTGGCGGCTTTGATCCTAAGGCTCCCGTCCCCCACAAAAAGTATGTTTTCCAGTTCAGTTTTGGGGATACTTTCTTTCCATTTTGTATTTCAATTCTTCTCTAGTCAAAGATGGAGGAAGAGTTGACTTCATTGTAGATGTTTATTAATATTCATTTATAGAAATATTATACTTTCTTCATTAGCAATGAGATGCAAGTGGGCATCTCCTGCTTAAAGATACTATTTATTGTACTACACAGAGACAAAATGTCATTTTATCTGTTGTTTCAACTGTAAAAGTTAAGTCTTTATAGCATTGGGGGATTTGGACCTGAATCTCAAATGTAATGAATTCACCCATTTGAACATATCAAACAGTCTTCTCTTTCCTTACAGAAATAGTTATATGGGTGGAAAAAGTTTCCTGATGCTCTAATCAATATAGACAGTGTACTTCTGCAATAATATATGGTCAGGTTTCATCTTTGCTATGAGGACATCTTGCCAGTGGGTGGTGCTAGGGTACCAAAGTTTTCACGTTGGTGTTTCCTTGGCTGTGATTCACCTTCAGTATTTATAACATTGCATGTTATTTCTTTATATTTTAAGAGCTCATCTTAATGTTTATGTGAAAATTTTGTGCCTTTTCTCTTTTGAGCTGGACTTAAGAGATGGTACAAATTCAAAAGAATTTTTTTTTTGTGTGCCAGTCCTGGGGCTTGAACTCAGGGCCTTGGTGCACAGCACCACTTCCAGGTTTTTCTGTTTATGTGATGCTGAGGAATCGAGCCTAAGGCTTCTTGCATTCTAGGCAAGCACTCTACCACTAAGCCACATTCCCAGCCCTCAAGTGTTTTTATTTTATTGTTTTATTTTAGTGGGTTTTTTTTTTTTTTTTGTCAGTCGTGGGGTTTGAACTCTGGGCCTGGGTGCTGTCCCTCAGCTCTTCAGCTCAAGGTTAGCGCGCTACCTTTTGAGCCACAGTACCACTTCCAGTTTTCTGGGAACCAGCCTGGGCTGGCTTTGAACTGTGCTCCTCAGATTTTAGCCTCTTGAGTAGCTAGGATTACAGGCATGAGTCACCAGTATTTTAGATTTTTTGCAATGCCAGAGATGAAAGCAGGTTCTAGCACATTCTAGGCAAGAGCTCAGTCACTGAGCTATACCACCAGGCCTTGGTGTTTTGGAGGTAGGGTCTTGCTATATGTCCTAGGCTGGTAGTGAACTTCAGATTTTCCTGCCTTTCCCTCTCAAGGGCTGGGATTACTGACATGTGCCATCATGCTTAGTGTCTCTCATTTAATCTCAATGGATAAAGCCTTTTCAGTAAGACCAAATTATGACTTTTGTAAGTGGTTTGGTACCCACAAATTCCAAGTTCTTATTCTTCACTCCTCTCAGATTTTGTTCTTGTTTCTGTGATAAACAATCCAGTAGTTTACTTTCTTCCCTTTTTCCTTCCTTTGCTCCCTCCCTTCTTTCCTTCTTCTTTCCCCCCTCCTTCTTTCCCTCTCTCCTTCCCTCCTTTCTCTTTCTGTTTTTTCTTCTTTCTTTCCTTCCCTCCTTTTTTTCCCTCCCTCCTTCCTTCCTTCCTTCCCTCCCTCCTTCTTCCCTTCTCTCTCTCTCTTTCTTTCTTTTTCTTTCTTTCTTTCCATTATCAAAGCCTCAGTGTGCTTGGCAGGTAGGTGCTCTACCATTTGAGCTGTGCCTTCAGCCCAGTCTGGGTCATTTATTTCTTTTTATGGGAGTGATTTTTTTTTTCAATGAAATGTCTTTCTGTGTTGTCAAAAGTAGTGAGTAGAATCATAGTTTTCTTAAAGAAAGAATGCTTTAGAAAATAAGATTAAATATGTTTATTTTGAGGCATAAACCTTTTGGAAAAAGATGGTTAGGGTAGCATTCATAACAGGCTTAAAAATTATTTACAGGTCTGTAGAAAGCAGTCTTAAAGGCACAGGTGGTCTAGAGTCTGAATAAATGAATCACATACACTGCAGGACTTTTTTTTTTTTGGTGCCTATACTGTAGCTTAAACTCAGGGTCTTGATACTCCTGAGCTTTTTAAGCTCAGGGCTATTCCTCTACCACTTTGAGCCACAGTACCACTTCCAGCTTTTTGGTAGTTAATTGGAGATAAGAGTCTCAAAGACTTTTACTTCCCGGGCTGACTTTGAACCGTGATGCTCAGATGACAGCTTCCTGAGTAGCTAGGATGACAGGCATGAGCCACTGATGCTCAGGTTAGTACTTTTTGTTTTGTTTTGAATCAGGACTTTGGGCTGTCATATGGTTAAGTTATTCCTCAGGCCTCCTCCATGGGACACCACAGGAAATGTCAAGTACAGTAGGTGCTGGCTGGAAAGCTGTGGGGTACATACAGGTAGCTCTCAGCAGACATTTTCTTTATTTATATATGCAGGGAGCGGGCAGGAGAGGTCCTTGTTCAGGATAATCCATTTTAGGTGTGAACGAAAGGTTCTGAGTCCTGTGCAAAACAGATTAGGTGTCCTATTCCTACCCCCATCCTGCAGCTTTCTTCCTTACCCATCCCCTTCGTAGCTTCTCCCTGAACCATTCCCCTACCTGGAATGTTCTTTCTATGCTATTCTAGCAGAACCTCATGGACAGAGTTCCCACTCAAATTCTTTCTTCTGTTTTTGGAACTTTCTCAAAGCTCTGTCCAACCCCGCTCTCTTCCTGTCCTGATCATCCTTTTCAATGGGAAGTGGCAGGAGGAGAGGCGGCTGATGGTATAAATGAGAAGGGACCAGAGACTGCGAGTGCTTGGGAGCCACACTGGCTTGCTGTGCGAGCTGTATGGTGGACAGGTCTGGTCTCTGGTGAGCCCAGTCTGTTTCTTGGCAAAGCTCCATTCACGGAGCCCCATGAGGTGCTGGCTTTGTGCAGGTCACCGATGCTATTGCCATTCTACTACAGTGTTACACTTTATTGCTTTTTACATATAAGATGTGTACTTTGTACTACCTGAAACCAATGGATGGTCGCAAACATGCCATGTGAAGTAGGCCCAGACGCAAAAGGACCACTGCTGGATGATTGCAACTCAATATGGCTGCCAGAGGTCTCCGATGAGTGGAAGCTAGCAAGTGGGGCGGTGGTCATCAGGGAGTGGCGTGGGTGGAGAGGGGCATGGGGGTTGGGAGGGAATGAATGCTGGGTTTGTTCTAGAGATGGGGGGTGGTGAGGATGGTTGTACAACACTGAGAATGTAATAAAATGCACTGAACTAGATACTCAATCCTGGTGAACAATGGTAAGACTAAATAAATACTAAACATGGAGAATAAATGCTTGTGGTGTTATTATTTGCAATAGCTGAAGGTAGTATCAACTCAAGTCAGTTAATGGGTGAATGGATTGTAGTATGCTCCCCACAGTGGAATATTATTACTCAGTTAGGAAAGTGATGACGGGGGCATGGAGCAAGATAGGTTGCATTCAAAAGCTGCTTTGTTAAATGGCAGCCCCTTTGTACAACTGCTTAAAGGTAACAGTGGCATGAGATTGTGAACTGGTTAAAATGGTTGTGTTAGCTTATGTAGAATTCACCTCAGTGGGCAGAATATTTGTCTTGGTATTGCTCTTGGATTGTACCTTTTTTTTTTTTTTTAAATTTTTTTTTTGGGTCCAGTCGTGGGGCCTGAAGTCTGGGCCTGGGCGCTGTCCCTCAGCTCTTCAGCTCAAGGCTAGCACACTACCACTTGAGCCACAGCGCCACTTCCGGCTTTTTTCTTTTTGCTTATGTGGTGCTGAGGAATCGAACCCAGGGCCTCGAGCATGCAAGGCAA